CAGCTGTTTATAACAAATCCAATCCAATCCAAAACCAGCTGACAGCCATTTCTCAAGTAGTTCAAAAGATGTAAAATCATATATTTCTCTGTTAAGGAGTCAACAAAACTAAGAAAATTGAAAGGTGAATGTTAATAAGGAAAATTTATTAGCACCTGAAATAATTTACACTATAGATTTTTCAAAAACTTATCCTATAAGGTTTTTTTCTACAGTAATTTCACTCCAATTCTTTCCTTTCTTTCATTTTCTGAATTTACCTTTCCACATTCAATTGTGAACACATCTGAAATGCAGCTATATATTAAGTAAAGTAATTAGAGAAAATACTCATCTAATATGTTCACTAAATGCATAGGTTTGGTTACAGGTAACAGGTATTTTTCATGTCTGTTCTACCATGACTATGTGTTAGTAAGACATAAGAATTATGTAAAGTGAACTTCTGCTGTTACAGGTATTCTTAGAGAATTTTAAAAAGAAACAAAGAAATCAAGTACATGGAAGCAAAAGTAGCATAGTGTTATCTATTAAGATAAATCTGGCAAGGTGGATCTCAGAACTCTGGTCAATTTTTTGTTAAGAGGCTAAAATAAGGTCCTTTAACTACAGGAAACCGAGCTTTGATTTAATATGCAACATGAGTCTAGACAAGGCTGTTTTGTACATATATTTAGAGAACAGTCTCTTCTTTAAATGTCTCTTGGATGGGAACTCATCTGAATCCAGTTACCTTCACTGATATGCCTCCGTCTGAATCAGCTGCAACATGACCTTGCAAATTTAATTCTTCAGTAGAATAATGATGAGAAATTAAGCCATCCATTTTGCTCCAGCTTTTCTGTACTCTTCATCCTAAAAATTACTCCTTGGCATTCCAGCCCCACTTTCTTCCCCAACACAACAATTTTTGTTTTGTTTTAAAACACAGGAATCGTGATAGCGAACAATTGCAGTTTCACAGATGGGGACCACAGGTGCCTGTCAGTATCCCAACACTGCTGTGCTCTTCATATATGCCTTTTTCCTTACCCATCATTGACCTGACCAGGTTCTTTTGCAGTTACTTAATAACTGTGAAGTATTCGCTGATAGCATGCTGTTCACAAAATAGGTTTCTCACCCTTAAATATACAATAGAAATACTCTTTACTTTACACTAGTCATACCAATGAACACAACTCATATTTGCATCTTAATTTCTATGCAGATGCAAAGTTTAGTTAGCCTCCAGCAACGTAGACTAGGACTGCGACCAATGATTATGCACAATTATGCCACTGTTAATGACCATAAGCAGGAAATGGGTGAACCTGTTCTTTTTACCTATAAATCGCACAGATTTTTTTTCTTACTTTCTTCTCTTCCCTGTCAAAACCCCCTATTTAATGTAGTTTAGATCCAAAGGAGTGTAACAGGGAGTCAAACTGCCGTATAACTAATTCTTTCATCTCATGACAATGATATTCTTTCCTAAATAATGGTCACTTTAATGCACCAAAGTGAGCTTACTGTATTTCCTGAAGTTCACTGAGAGCCCTGATCCAGATTACTCTAAATTCATAATCATCATCTGAGAATACCTGTGGTCTTGGTAACTTCAACCAAACAATTGCAACATTGAAAATTCTGCCAGGATCTTCTCAGAAATCCATGGAAAATTCACCTTCCATATTTGAAAATCTGTTCTTGGGAGCAAGCTGTGTCCATTTTCATTTGGCGTTTACATAATACAGAATGGAAACCTTAGCTCAAAATGGTAACCATTAATTCTGTGTTGATAAACGGATGTATCGAAGGAAGAAATGCCCTGCAGTTTCAAAGCTCTTGCTTGTTTCTCCAGTCTTTACTGTCAGTCCGCTATCTTGAATATGGTAGTTCCTATTAGTCATATTCATAGCCAGAACAATGAGGAAACTGGATGATGGAGCTCTAATTCCTCTGATGGGTCATGGTAAGCTCCTAAAACACTAGAAGGGACTCTGCCTACACAAATCACTGTACCCAGTTCCCACTCACACTGCTTTACCCTGTGGCTCTTTCACTCCTGGTGATGACTGCTGCTCTTTCCAGGCTTTCTTACATCGCAGTTTTTTAGCATTCTATTCATTACTGTGGTAGTGCCCAGCTGCTTGGTGTATAAAGCACAGTGGTGCCCTAATTGTGAGCTGTGCTGCTGCATTTCCTCAGGTGGTTATGTAGGATGTAAGAAGGACTGCAAAAATGTTCAGGTCAGAGCAGTGCTCTGGTGCAATGCCTAGTGGCTGTACACACCATATCCTTGTCTCCTTTCAAATGAGGGAACATGAATGCATTCACGAAAATGATGTCATGTTGTCGCAGAAATGCTGAAGGCTGAGTGTGCTAGGGAAAGCTAGTGTGGTGAGATAAAATAGTCATCCTCCTGGTGTTGCATTCCTGATTTTCACCCATCTCCAGTGCTAGACTCCCCAGATCTGTTAGCTGTTAGCTAATACATTCTTTAAGAGGTTTAAGCATATGGCAAAAATTCCAATGAAAGGATATGCCCTGAATAAAACCCAAACCATTTTAGGTCCTTCTTTCCATATTTCACCAAAGTAAGCATTTTTATGCACGTATTTCATCCCTGAGGAACTGCAGTTACCAGATATTTTCAGAAGTTAGGACCCTTTTTTCCTGAATATCGTTACAATGTATCACAAAATACAGAGAACCTTTACAAAAGCATTGAGCTGAAAGATAGTAGAGGCACATACATAGATGTGCGAGCACAAAGAATAGTTTTATGCTATAAAATTCTGATTGCTTTTTCAAAAATGAGACCAAAACGTATGATATTAAATGGGAAAGAAAAAATGTCATTGATGGATGAAGTTTCAATATAATTCATTAGGAGCTACAGCACACATACATGTACATACATGAAATGAATTGTTAATATTGTTAAAACATTTATATAATGGATTATTAGTAAGATTTCATTCAAGGTAGAAGCATGCATTTGGGAATGGAAATATGCAGGATCACAGTCATAATCCACTGATTATTGACAGCAAAAGGACTTAACTTCAGTGTCTATTGAATCAGCCAGTCATTTATGATTATTATTTATTCTTTTTGATAAATGGATTCATTATTCATGTTGATATATGTAATAGTTTGCCCTGTGTCCCATAGAAAATCTTCCTGTCCCGTACATGATGATCTATT